CATTTGCTCACAGAGAGAGAATCTAGTTTCCCCAAGGTCTCCCTTCTGACAAAATGTTTATGAGAGCCTATCTGGCATTTGAAAACAAAGCAATTTGCTTCATTTTGAACCATTCCATTTGCTCACAGAGGGAGAATCCAGTTTCCCCAAGGTCTCCTGATAAAAAGTTTATGAGCAGCAGTAGCTTGGGTTTCTCGGCTCCATCTGAGTGGAGGAAAATGGAGGTGCAGCAGTGGGATTGCTCTCAAGGTTGGTGCACGCAAGCAAGCAGTGCACCCGGGTCTTGTTGTTTAAGAGCAATCCTGCTGCTGCTGCTGCTCTGCTTTCCTCCACTCAGACGGAGCCGAGAAACCCAAGCTGCTGCTGCCGCTTGAGTGAGGAGGATGAGGAGGAGAAGAGTGGTGAAGATTTGTGCCAGCCGGCCGGTCAGGCAAGGAGTAGGTCGGGCAAGATGGCTGGCTGGCTGGGGAGGGTGATTGTGGCCGCTCAGGTGGTTACTGCCGCTGCTGCTGGCTTGGATGTGGATGCCAGGAACCTGACCCCACAATGCCTCCCTGCTCAGTTGAAGGCTTTGTTCCTGCCCTCAAGGCCGGCGCATGCAAGCAAGACCCAGCTGGGCCATGGACGATTCTATGCTTTGTCCCATAGGTATGCAAACAAAGCAAACACTCCCCCTCCCAGAGAATGGAAGCTTCCGGGGGCCATGATCTTTTTTTGCAGAGAATGGGTGTTTGAACTTGCATGATATTACAGCACCCAGGAGCTTCCATTGTCAGCAGGGAAAGCATTTCCAAGCTGACTCTCCTCTCCCTCAAAGGGAAAGAAACTGCGGCAGAGAGGAGACAGATTTTTGCAAAGTGAGTCCTGTGTGGCAGGAAGGGAGGGGGAAGCAGTTGTGAGGAGTAGGGGGGGAATAGGGTGAATGTTGCAGAGCCTCTGCAGTTGCTCGTAAGGGCGAACAACTGCTGTAGTGCTGCAATATTCGTAATTTTGAGACTTGCTTGTAAACAATAGGGGGCGCTGATCGCGTAACTTTGAACGAGTGTTAAGAGAACACTTGTACCTCGGGGATTACCTGTATATGCAAAAGGCAGCCACTGCATTTTATCTGCATCAGAAATGACTGTGGGGGAGGATATGGAAACTTTGAATGAATAGCATTAAGTCATTTTTCCAATTCTCCTTAATTATGTTTGATTCATGTGAGGCCTGTACATATTTGCCAAGGTAGTCCTCTGACCTAAAACATGTTAGTGAGCACCTGACTAAATAATGGAAGGTCTTAGTGCAAAGAGGCTTGGACATCTGCAGGGGCACATAACATGTTGATCATGTCATCATTCAGATGCAATGACATGTTCTTGTGTCAGAAGTTATGATACAAGTACATACTACTAGCATTTGTGTGATGATGTCATAATGTACATCATTTTGGTGTTTCTGTAATTTGCTGAAGACAAGATTGTAGCAAGTTTGCTACAGTCTGAACATACAATTCCCTATTCCAGCGGTCCCCAAATGTTTTGGCACTAGGGACCAGTTTAGTGGGAGACAATTTTTCCACGGACCAGGGGGGATGGTTTTGGTTGGTCACCTTCACTCTGTGGCCCAGTTCCTAACAGACCACGAACCAGTACCAGTTCATGGCCCAGTTCTTCGGAACCCTGCCCTAGTCATTATGTGGATTGTTCTCACACATACATTTCAGCAGCTTACTTTCTGATGTTAAAGGATTCTTCTTGACACTAGTGTATTGTGATAACATAGCAAGTAACTTTGCCCACAAGAGCTTATTTTAAAAGAGGACTGCATTTATTGAGTAAACTTGTGACCACAAAATGAAATGATTTTTGTTAAGGGTTGTAATAAATAAGGAGTCAGCTCAAGTCATAATGTAGGTTGAAAGGTAAGGGACCTTATTCACTGGAGACAATGCTTGCTTGTATTTTTTGAATGGAGAACTAAATGGGACAATTGTGTTGGGGGGGAATGAGAACTCAATCCATCATTATCTAAGTCTGGTTAGATAATTTAATTTCTAATTAAAAAAGTGCTAATAAGGGAGAAACTTCTGGAAAGCCTACAATTTATAAAGATGCAACATGGCTTGAAAACAGTAATAGAAGAAAAATTAAGCAGCTGTAACTCAGAAAGGAAAACTAAGACCAGAGGTGGACTGCAGCAGTACATACTTTCCCATGTTTTAATTAAATTTGCATAAGCACTGAGGAATATATGTTCTTATTTCAAAGGAAGCATGTCTCAAACCCCTAGGACTGCTGGAGACCCTTGACAAATTGGCATATCATCTAATTGTTAAGAATGAAAATTTGGCAGCTCTTTGTTTTCATCTTGCCATTAGATAAGGGGGGCAGAGATTATGTTTTCGACTGGGTTAGTTAGAGAAATGAAACCTTTCCAGTTCTTGGGAAGTTTGCTGAGAGATGGTTATCTGCAAACCTTTCAAGGACATTTCTAGCAGGTGTGAAAAAGATAGCAGATGGCTCCCATAACGAAGAGAATTTGTTTACATGAGCTATGTGGACATCTGTGGGGTTTGGCTGGGAATGTCTTAGTTATATGCCTTGGGATTTTAGAGTAGTTTTCCTTTGCCTATACCATGTCATGTATTCAATAATCCAGTAAGCTTTTCAGGAATGAAAGTAATCCTGGACTTCTATTTGGATATTCGAGCTGGAGGTTGACACTAATGTTCTTTACATGGGATTCTCACCTTCAATTATTCAGGAGAGGGTCTGGGAAAACAACCATGTACACTAGGAACTAAACGTGTTATTGAAAGCTGATATGGCAATTTTTTTTAAAGGTACTGTATGTATTTATCTCAAATAGTGCCCTTTCTTTCTCTTTCCCTCCTCATTCTTTTCTCTTCCAACGCCCTCTGGATACCTCAACAAATTATATATATATATATCAGTTGGTCAACAAATTATATATATCAGTTGATTGTAGGATCATAGCATCTTGCTTGAGTATGTTTATAATCCTTGCAAAGAGAGTCTGTTTTTCCTTACAATATTAAATGCAGTACTTTTCCCTTTAACACCCTACACATCATCTCTATGCCTCAAAATGTGATGACTGTATTACCAGTAGTATTTTTCCTTATTTGTGTATGGACTGCTGTTTGCAGTTAGATAACTGGCTTTCATCATAAATGTTGCTAAATTACTAGTGATACCTATAGGTATCATGGTTCCAATAGATGAGACCAACTAAAACAGAATTCTGAGGCTTGAGGTTTCCTTTAAGACAGTGATGGCGAACCTTTTAGAGACCGAGTGCCCAAAAACTGGCCCCACCCCTGCTCCACCCACTGCACCGCCCCCGCCCCACCCCATCCCCCACCCCGCCTGCCCGCAGGACCACTCACCGCCTCCAGGGCCCACCCACCGCAGATCACCCAGGCAGCCCAGCAGCGCCATGGCAGCCATGCCCTCTGCCCGCGCCCCACAGCATCAACTTTGCGGGATGGGGCGTGAGGGCAGAGTCTTGTCTACGCTGCCTGGCTGCCATGTCCTTGGCTGTGCTGCTCCGTGTGGGCCACGCTCCGGGGCGACTCTCCTCCAGAGGGGCTGCTGGTGAGGAGGGGGTCGTGGGCGGAGGCAAGGCTGGGGCAACGGCACATGTCCCCACAGAGAGGGCTCCGAGTGCCGCCTCTGGCACGCGTGCCATAGGTTCGCCACCACTACTTTAAGAACATGTTTATTGGCTACAAAGTATTGCACTGTCAAAAGTGAAACAAAGACTAAAGTTCCCTCCAAAAAGTTACAGTATACAAAGTTAAACTTCCCAGCCTATTATGCAATCAACTACGTTTCCCAATAGAATAGTTTGGCAGGCTTTCTAACAGAAAGGTCACCCTCCCAGTCCAATAAACAGAAATGACCTTGGTTCCCACGGAACAGAATTGTTTAAGCTAGCAGAAAAATTCCACACACCCCTCCCAGTCTGGTGGCAACCAAAAACGAGCCTCATTCAGGCTCATTGCAGAGTTGACAGTGGGATCATTGACACATAATACCATTGATTAAAAGTATAATTTTGCTAAAATATAATTATATATTTGTTGCTACTTTTGTATTTTTTAAATGTTTCATGGAACTGTGTGTTTCAATTGTGAGTTTTGTTACTGTTGTTCACAGGGATGGTAAGGAGAGTAAACTGAAATTTCTTTTGTTTATATTTTTCATATTAAAGTGTCTACTCTGGATGATTTACTTTCTGCCCTGCTGAGAGGATGTAGTGGTAATGATAGCAGAGTCCGTCCGTTTCCAATCTCTCTAACCACAAGTAAGTCCCTAACAATAGTATATAAACATTACCTTGGCATTTTCATTTAAAACTATGTTTCATTAAGTTATATTTATGGTTTAGAAATGTGGGTACATGTCTGTACATCTATTAATAGACCTGTTCATTTGTTACACAACCAGGAGTTTTCAGTATGTTAATGTTTCAGATAATCCCCATCAACCTCTCTGAAAATTGCTCTACAGTAGAGAGGTTGTGCTGGCTAATATTGTATATGTTTTGGCTTCCAGGTATTTCTGTACTTTGCTATTGTAAAGTTGTGTGAATGCCAGCACACATAATTCCATACATTCAAAGACTGTTCTTCACATATTTTGAGTGTGAATGTCTCCAGGAGAAAGATGTCAGTTCAATGTTGTCAGAGAGGATCATGGGTGAGTACTTAGCCAACCCTGATGCCTAAACAGACAATTCTATTCAGTTAGAGGGAAAAAAAATAAAGCTCTGCTTTTAAAAAGTACTTTGTTTACTTTATTTTACTTTAAATAAGAGAACCAGCCTCTTCATTCAAGCTTGTTGCTCTTTCCTCAAAGGAGAAAAGAGCAATGACTTCTCTGCCTGTGTGTGTGTGTGTGTGTGTGTGTGTGTGTTTGAGACAATATATAGAGTAAGTCAAATTAGATTTTTCTTTTTCCTTGTGGGATATGTGGATGAACAGGGGAGTTTGTTGAGAGGGGAACAGGATTGGAAGGCTAGAAATGATTGTCCATAGAGCTATGAGAAATGTTAACAAAAGTCAAGTGAAAAGTGTCCTGTGCCTACTACTTTTCCCACTGAAAACAAATGCATTATGGATCTGGAATAGAAGTAAATAATAAAAGTAGTTGATTTCAACAAAAAATGTTAAGCCTCACCATCCCGGCATTGCTTCTCCATTGTGAAGTGTGTGCCTGTTGCCAAACTGTTGCCAGGTAGTCCTCGACTTAGAAGAGTTCGTTTACTGACTGTTCAAAGTTACAATGGCACTGAAAAAAGTGATTTATGACCATTTTTCACAGTTACGATCTTTGCAGCATCCCCATGATCATGTGATCAAAATTCAGATGCTTGGCAATTGATTCATATTTATGACCATTGCCATTTCCCAAGATCATGTGATCACCTTTTGCAACCTTCTGCCAAGCAAAATCAATGGGCAAGCCAGATTCCCTTAACAACTGGGTTACTAACTTATCAACTGCAGTGATTCACCTAACAACTGAGGCAAGAAAGGTCATAAAATGGGACAAAACTCACTTAACAAATGTCTCACTTAACAACAGAAATTTTGGGCTCAATTGTGATCGTAGGTTGAGGACTACATGTATCTGTTACTTAATGTAACAGGTAACTTGATGAAAGACAGGCCTAAATTGAATGGGAACACGGAAAAGATCCTCAGTTTGGCTTTCTTTTATTGTAATAATTCATAATGAATTTTTCTCACAATAGCAGGCAATTCCATTTGCAATAGAAATAACACTGTAAGCAGTCCCAGATATCATTTTAAGTTTCCACATAGTGGCACTTGAGCAAACTGGGAAATATCATATGAAACTTAAACCTATCTCTCTAGCACAGTTCAAAGCAATGGATTGGGAAAAATTATTTTGAAGGTGCTTCAGATTTAGAATTATCTTTGACTGGACTCTTGGGATTTTACCATCTGCATACAGATGTCATTGTCAAGCTTGGAAAAACTTCATGCTGCTTCGGATATTCCCCCCCCCCCTTGGCTTGCCTACAGAACCAGGGGAGGGGAGTAGAGAAGAATAGAATGTGTATTGCAGCTGTGGAGCTGTAAGGTCATCCATGAGTTTGTTTTGGAAACTGAAGATTATTTCTCATAATAATTGTCTGGAGATTAATTGGATAATGTGACTTACACTGTCAGGGGGAAAGGGAGTTTCTATACTTTTAATATACTGCTTTTGCACCAATTTAATCAGAGCTGACTTTCCATTCATTAATGCCGGCATGTGTTGCTCAGTAAAGTCTTGCATTAGACATAATAACGTCTCAGGTGTGCTTACTTCATGGAGATCGTCAGCCAGAACTTTGACAGTCATTGCTTTTGTCTTTTCATTTAATAATACAGTAAATTAGAACTTGACTAAGTATCACTTATAATATTCCTACTCATCAAATCAGCTGAATGGAATCTGAGACATTCTAGATGCAATTGACATACCTCATCCTAATTTATTCTGATTGAATGTATGTAAGCTTTGGGGTGGATTTCCATCAGTACGCTGATGATACTCAGCTGTACATTTCCACCCCAGGCCACCCCAATGATGCCCTTGACGTGATGGCCCGGTGTCTGGAGGCCGTACGGGTCTGGAGGCCGTACGGGTCTGGATGGGGAGAAACAGACTCAGGCTCAACCCTTCCAAGACTGAGTGGCTGTGGTTGCCGGCTCCCAGGCCGCCGCCAGATTTTCAACCGAATCGTGAGCTAGGTCCGCCGGATATGGCCCAAGCTCCGTCTGGAACCTCTCTGGGTCCATCAGGCGCCTGGGGCGGAACCATCTAAGTGGTTCCTCCTCCCTGCGGCGGGGGGGAGCGGTCCGGAAGTCCAACCTGAGGAGTGAATGATCTGACCATGACAGGGGCTCTANCACAGTGGTCTCCCTTGGGCCTAGGTTCTCCCGTATAATGACCGCTACCCCACCGCCCCTACCCCGGGTCCTTGGCTGATGGAATACCTGGAAACCCGGCGGGCACATGTCTACGAGGGGCACTCCCCCCTCTGTGCCCAGCCAGGTCTCGGTGATACCTGCCAGGTCCGCGCCCCCCTCTTGAATAAGATCTTGAATGTAGTATTAAATATTCATTTAATACTACATGTAGTATTAAATATTCATTTTCTTTTCCATAATTAGTTCCTGATAATCTTAACAAAAACAATTCAAGCTTAAATTCTATTTGTATTTTAGTCATTTTTTCCAGCCATCGATGGATCCTAAACCAAAATTTCTTTGCCTTAGGGTATGTCCACCAGGCGTGGTAGTAGGTACTTGGTTTTGTTTACATTTCCAGCAAATGTTTGATACGTTTTTAAACATTTTTGCTAATCTAACTGGTGTCATATGCCATCTATAAAACATTTTATATAAGTTTTCTTTAGATGAGGCTGCTTTAGTAAGTTTAATATTTCCAGCCCAAAGTTTTTGCCAATCTTCTAAATTTATAAAATGTCCAAAGTTCTTTGCCCATACTATCATTGTTTCTTTTACTTGTTCTTCTTCCATCTTCCAACTTAACAGAAATTTATAAAGTTTTTAAATCAAATTTTCATCTGTTGTTAGGAGTATTTTATCAATTGGTATCTGTTCTTTATAAAATCCCGTTAATTTTACATCTTTTTCATATCTTGTTTGAATTTACAAATACGACCACCATGTTAAATCAATACCTTGTTGTTGCAAAACTTGTCTGTCTTTAAGTTTTCCATCCTTATCCAGCACATCTTTATAAGTAACGAGTTTATCATAATTAATTAAATTTGGGTAAACAAACGCTTCCATTACAGAAAGCCACTGAGGTATTTTCATGTAGGTTTTGTGTTTAATTCTCTCCCACTCTGAAAGCAATACATTCCTTATAGTGTGGTTTTGAAAGTATTTATGTACTTTATTTTTCTCATACCACATAAACGCATGCCAGCCTTCTAAATCATGTCCTTCTAAGTACAGAAGTCGTTTGCTTCTCAATGTGATCCATTCTTTAAGCCAGAGCAAAATAGCTGCTTGATAATACAGTCTCCAGTCTGGGAGTCCAAAGCCCCCTCTGTCTTTAGTTTCCTGTAGTAATTTAATTTTAATTCTTGCTTTTTTTCCTTGCAATATAAATCTCAGTATTGTTGTGTTTAAATCATCAGAAAATTTCTTAGTCAGTTTAACAGGAACTCTTTGGAATAGGAAAAGTAGCTTTGGTAAAATATTCATCTTAACAGTCGCTATTCTTCCTAACAATGATAATTGAAGATTTTTCCACTTTTCCAAATCTGCTTTTATTTGTTTCACTAATCTCTCATAGTTATCCTCTTTTAATGTTGTATATTTTGCTGTTAAATGAATACCTAAATATTTAACTTTTTTAACTATTTGAAGATTTGTCTTTTTAGCATTAGTTTTTCTGTTTGTTAGGTTTTTTGTTAAAACTTTAGTCTTTTCCCTATTTATTTTCAGTCCAGCCACTTTTCCAAATTTCTGTATTATCTGCAAGAGTTTGGTGGCTGTTTCCAATGGCTCTTCCAGAATAAAAACCAAATCATCTGCAAATGCCTGTAATTTATATTTCTGATCTTTTATCTCCAGTCCTTTGATTTCCATATCCTGCCTAATATTCTTAGCCAACACTTCCAATGTAAGAATAAATAACAAAGGCAACAATGGGGGAGGATTTCCGGTGATGCCGCTGACCAGATGCTGGGGAGCGATTGTCCGTTCCCCAGGTCCGAATTTCCTTCGCTGGTGGGCCCATTAGGGCCAAATGCCACCCTGGAGGGGTGGCTACCGAGGGACGAACCTTTGAGGAACAGGAGCCGACGGTAGCCAGCTTGCAGAACCCAAAGCAGTCCTGGAACCAGCAAAAGAAAGGCGGAATGCATCTATGCGTGCCGCCATTAATCAGCTGATCGTCAGAGACAGAAAACAGCTGATTTGGAAAGCAAGCAGCCGGGCCGGGTGAGACTATGTTTCTATTCTTTTGGTAAAGTGGACTTTATCGGAAAGAATAATCTGTCTTTAATTCAAAGCTGGAAGCTGAAGGGAGGAAAGAGGAGGGGTTTTTGTTCTCCCCCCCTCCCGTACAAGTGGCGGTTTAAGCGATTTTACTAAGGAGAAGCAACTTGGACTATTTCAAAATTAAACTGGAGAAACTATTTAACTTGTAGAAGGAAAAGAAAACTTCCTGGGAAAAGCCACGCTAACTGCTTCTTTTTTGTTTTCTACTAAAACTTTAAAACTTTGTTTCCACTTTGAATACTTTCTTTTTTCTATTTAAACGTCGGGGGGGGGAGAGAGACCAGTGTTCCCCTGGTGGTTACCTTGTAATTTTTTTTTTTCTCCTCTCTGTTCGCTGGCAGCTTTGCTTATTCAGCTGCAAAACTTGGCTCAATGCCCAGACACTTGGCTCTACGCGTAGACATTTCTATCTCTTTTAAAAGATACTGAAAGAGACTTTTTTTTTGTGAGTGTCTGGCCACTTGCATATTGCCTATAATAAGGAAAATTACAAAAGAAGGGAATTTTTATTGGCTTTTTTTCTTCTCTTTTTTTGGCAGTGGAATAAATTTTTAACTTGTAATTGGACTATAAATTGTTCTTTTTTTCTCTTGCTTATAATTTTTTCCCTTTTAGAATTTTTTATTTTTCTCTCTTTTGTTGGTTTTTTCTTTTTTTTGTTCCTTTTTTTACACCTTTTTTCAGTCTTCCTCTTTGGATATAAATATGTACTCTCCTTTTCTCTTTTTTCATGATTTGGTTGGTTGTGGAAGTTGTTTTTCTTTTTCTTTTTAATTATCTCCCTATTGGATTGGTTTTTGTTTCTTTTTTTTTCAATCACATTTCGCCTTGTCTCCTGATAATAGGAGAGCTTTGGATTACAATTGGCCATCGGGCCGTTTGGCGGATTATAATTAGCCATTGGGCTCCTTACTGGATTATAAATAAAAACAACAATTAGAAAATGAGCATCTCAAATTTGGCTAACGGGGTGAAGAAGGGTTCCTCGGCCCCTGCTTCAACTTCGGTGAGTCCAGCTCCCCAAAAATCAATTACGACATTTCTACAACAGGAAACGCAATAAAAAGATATGCAAATGATACTCCAAGCAATTGCGTCTAAAATGGAAATGAAAAAAGATTTGGATAAAAATTATGAAGATTTGAAAAATGATCTTCTTAAAATGGATCAAAAAATGGAAACTTTTCAACAGGCGATGACAGACACTCAACAAAGAATGCAAAAAATAGAAGATAAGTCAGCGGTGGTTGATCAGAAATTAGAAGCTTTGCAAGAGGAAAACCAGAGATTGGCGCAAGCTAACGCGGACAATATGGCCGTCATGGAGATGGAAAGAGCATCATACTTTTTAAGATTCCAAAATATTATAGAAGAGAAGGATGAGAGCTTATTGGAGTTGATGAGTGAGATACTGGCAGAACTACTTGGAATGGAAATGGACCAAATGAAATGAGAAATGGACCAGGTTTTTAGAGTTAATTCAAGCTATGCAAGAAGATTTAGAGTTCCAGGGAGGTCCATGTAAGATTCCTCAAAAGATCCACACGAGATGAGATTTTGAGAGCAATAAGAGATCAACCACTGAAATATAAAGACAAAGAACTTGTAGTTCTGAAACAGATTCCTAAAAGAATAAGAGAAGCTCGAAGAGAGTATCAATTTTTAACAAGGAAATTGTTCAACAAAGGAGTGAATTTTAGATGGCTGGTCCCAGAAGGATTATTAATCTTCTGGGACTCGAAAAGATATAGACTGGACACCCCATCTCAAGCAGAGGAATTTTTCAACAATCATAGAGCTTTTTTGGAAAAAGGCAATGGTGAATCCAAGAAATCAGAGGAAATGACGGGTGCAGGAACATCGAAGCAAATGGAGGAAGAACCCCAAAAGACCCAATCAGAGGAAGATGTAAGGCCCAAAGATCAGAGGCAGACAAGCTCCCCTAGAAGATTGAGATCCAGATATAACTAAAATTATGGAGGAGACTAGAATCTTTTCAATAAATATAAGTGGTCTGAACTCCCCATCAAAAAGGAGTAAAATATTTCATAACTACAAAAATTGAAATTGGACATAATTTGCCTTTAATTTGCCTTCAAGAGATGCATATTAAAAGACAACATTCTAGATTGCTATAACAACCAAAAATAGGTAAACTTTATTTCTCTTCGACATTGCAGATAAAGAATAACCTAAGGATCATCTTAAATGTTTTGGAATATTATGAAAATCATCCTGGGAAACAGATGGCACTTATATTTCTTGACGCACAAAAAGCCTTTGATAATTTAAATTGGCAATTTATGTTTCAACAGTTGAAGGAAATGGATTTTGGTGAAATCTTTATAAATGCTATTCAAGCAATTTATAAGAAACAAACAGCAAAGATATTTTTAAATGGAGACTATACAGATGGTTTTGTTATAAAGGTGCCTTTGATTTTCAATAAAATGTAGGAGCATCACATAACAGGTGCCAGTTATTTGGTAAATATTTGTTTCTTCAGATTTCTCAGAGAGAGAAAAATCACATTCACAGATATTTAGCAGTAGAGGGAAATTTTTAATTCCAGCTTTCTGTACTTAATTTTCATTAAAAGAAGTGTTAGAAATTTATTTGAATGTTCTGTGGAATATCTATTCTGGTTCTATGTTTGCTGTATATACAGCTTTACTGTATTCAAACATTGATGCATTATTTGTTTTAAGAAAGCAGCTTTTGAATATCACGTTTAATGTATTTTTCTCTTTGGTGGATAAATTGATTTAACTAACAATATCTTTAACAAGATTACAGAATACTATTCTCTTTTAAAGTTCATACCTCATATGAGTTTTTCTTATGTTTTTAAAATTATGTTCAGAGAAAATGGAATCCAAGATGAGGTTGCCCCTGAATCCACTGCACCAAGTGGAAATTGCTTGAGAAATAGCAACACTGAAGTTTTTGTAAGTGCTATGATTTCTAATTTTATAAAATTAGATGGGAAAAAATGGAATTAGATCTTGAATCTCACTGGGTGCAATTTATAATTTAAACCATATTGGGGGGTGATGCTGTCAATTTAATATATTTAAGTTCAAGGGTATGTCTAGAGTTGATCTAGATCCAGCTGATAATGTTGGATCAAGGTAGAATATATTTATTCTCCAGCACAGGAGATGGATAATCTACCAATGGGTTAACTCAATCCTCCTGCCCAATCAGATCAAGTCAGCCAAACTTGCCACGCCTGTCCTGGGCCTGTTTTCCCAGTCTCGACTTGTTCTTGCCCAGAACAGACGTGCATGTTTGGCTCACAGGCAGGTAGATCTTAATCTATTGGTGGATTATCCATTAGTCCTTAACTTCTAGCTCTCTGAATAGCGCTGGGACCAGCGCTGCTCTAGAGGACTCTCCCTTCATCTGATCCCCATTGGGATTCAGCAACAAATGGAGGCTTCTGTTTCTCCCTTTCTTTCCTAGCTCAGCGCTGCTGCAAATTCCCCCCCCTTCCTCCAGCTCACCTCGGCGTCAGAGCTTGCAACTGCAACTCCAACGGCCTTACGGCGATTGGATCAGCTCCGTGGAGGCCGCAGGGCCTCGTATCACAAGCACTTGCACGGGAGGCTTCCAAGGGCTCCCGAAACGCCGCTGATCAGCTGGGGAGGCTGTTTTTCCCCTGCCGCTTTCTTCTCGCACCGCGTCCGGTTGGGTGAGCCGCTTGCAGTCCGTTTGGAGCCGAAGGGGGAGAATGGCGTTTGGGACGCAGCCGCCATTTTGCGGACCGCATGGCCGTCGCAAGCCCTTGCCAGCTACAAGGGGAGGGGGGTGGGGGAAGGGATTTTCCCCCAATCTACTTCACCTTTCGTTGGCGTTTCCTTCAAGGGGCATCTCTCTCCTTCATTGTACATCAGCCCCTGAAAAATAACACATCATCAAAAGAAGGCCCAGGCCTAGTCAGCAGCCTCACCGGTTGCGGGCGCCATCTTGGAAACTTCGTCATCTTCCCAAGGCCGCCATTTTGGAAGCTCCTCATGTTCCAGCCTAAGGCCTACTGAGGGCTTTTCTAACCAAGGCCCTCCCGGGTTCCTTGTACCCAAGGATTGCCTGGGATCTCTCTCTGGTCAACCTAGGAGACTCCTTTTGTGGCATTTCTCTGTTTCCTCTTTCATTCCTTGGCATAGGCCCAATTGATTTCATTAGGCCCTCTGGTGTCTCCAGACCTGGTCACCATTTGGCTAGCTGATTAACACAGTAGTTCCCAGCCTCTGACTCTGTATTAGTTGCCATCTTTTTACATTGCTGGCCTGGCAACACAGCAAGCCTCACTAGCAGGCCGCAGTCCACCCTCTGGGGGAAATTATAGCGGCTGCAAGTAGGACCGGTCTTTTGGATACTACCGGTTCGGTGACCGGGGGGGGGGTAGGGTAGTTCTACCAGCCGTTGCCCTACACCCTTATTAGCCAATTGATCCTTTTCCCAGGGGTACCCTCTCGTGCACCTGAAGATTTTATACCAGCATGGAGGATAACATGGCCTCCCAATCCAAGGACGCCTCCCCTCCTTCCTCCATCCGGAAAAGGCACAGGTCCCCTAGCAAAGAGGCTGCTGGTAGGATCTCAGCCAAGGTCAAACCCAAGGCTGTATCTGGGGGGGAAACCTCCAAATTGGCTGAAAAACAGGCCAGCAGGAGACACCAAGCATTGGAAAAAGAGTTTTCAAAGGCTCAAAAACAGGCCAGGGCCAAGACCGCTCAGACTGAGTCTACCTTTTTTTATTTGCCTCTCGGTCTCTCTTCTTCTGCCCAGGAAGTCTGGTCACCGGTAGAGCCATCTACTTCCTCTGGTCAGCCCGGTCTGGAACCTGACGCACATACATTCAGGTCCCCGACCAGCCCACGGGCCCAGCAGGCCCCAGAAGCCACCTTCACGTCCACAGCCGCGGGGCTCAGAGAGGAGGAGTCCACTCTTCCTCCCCTAGAGGATAGGCTCCAAGTCCTGGTGGCTCAGGCGGTGGAGAGGGCTCTCGCGGGCAGGTCTCCATTGGTACCCAGGGCGGATTCCTTGCTTTCCCTTCCTCTTTCTCGCCCAGCTCATCAGAGTTCTCACGATCCTCCCTCCCCCTCCCATTCCTTGTATAGTGGGGTTTCATTAACCCCGGAGCAGGAGCAGGCCCTTGACGCCTCGTGGTTGGAGGAGGAGGAATCGGCCCCGGATCCGCCCCCATTCGGCGGTCTATTTAATCCATCTCTCTTTCTACCCTTACTTTGCAAGGCTAGCTCTGCAGCGCACGTGGGACCTGACCGGTCCGCTCCAGCAGCAACTGCAACGGACTCAGAAAACGGTGGACCCCATTTTTGTCGAACCGGTTGTCACCCAACATCATGTTCCCTGTCCACCATTATTCCTCAATGCAGTTAAGAAACAATGGGCTTCCCCGGGTACCTTTCCTCTTCCAGGTGGGAACGATAAAAAACTGTTTAGCGTGGCCTCAGATTTAGCAGAGGCACTGGACGTGCCCACGGTGGATGAGCCTCTGTCTCACCTTTTCTCCCCTACCACTATTTCAGGGGATATGTCTGAGGCCTTAAAAACTGAGGAACACAGATCAGAACTGGCATTTAGGAGGACACACCAGGTGGTGGCGTGGTCTATCAGGGCTGCTACTTCAGCCTTGTTCTTCACTAGATCCGCCCTTATCTGGCTTTGTCAGCTCCAGGCCAGGATCCCCCCGGACGATGTCCATATACATCAGGACCTGAGCAAGTTAATGGCCGCGACGGAATATGCTTCCGATGCGACTCTACACGCTGCAAGGTTTTCTTCCAGGTCCTTGGCGTCCAATGTGACAGCCCGTCACATGCTATGGCTAAGACACTGGCAGGCAGACGCCAAGTCCAAGTGGCGTTTGGCAGCAGCCCCATACCAGGGTAGCAAATTATTCGGGGATGCCTTAGCCCCGTTTCTGATCAAAAATAAGGATAAAAAGAAGATTCTGGCCCACCTTACCAAACGGTCTGATAGGCGGACTAATCCTTATAATCGTAGACAGTTCTTTCTATCTGCCTCTACTCCTTCGACTACGCAACCTTCACGACCCTTCACTCCCAGACAAGACCGTCCGGTCGATAGACCGGCCTCAAGACCCAGGCAACAGTTTCAGTCCAAACGGCCCTTTCGAGGTGGGGGACGTCCCTTCCGCAAAAAGTGACTCCTGAGTGGATCCTCCCATAGGGGGCAGGCTGTCCCTATTTGTCACTCAATGGGAGGTCACCACCACAGACGCCTGGGTCCTGGACACCATTCAACACGGTCTATCCCTGGAATTCACTTCCAGTCCACCAAGATGGTTCATTTCTTGCCCCCAATCAAAAAACTCAGTAAGGAAAGGTCTCATGCAGGAGGCATGTTGTTGTTAGACATAAGGGCCATAGAACCGGTACCTCCGGTTCAACGGGGTCACGGATTTTACTCCATTCTCTTTGTGATCCCCAAGACCTCGGGAGGATGGAGAGCAATCTTAGACTTAAAAGGCCTGAACTTTTATCTGGCATACCGAAGGTTCAAAATGCAAACACTTCAGTCCATCTTAGGCAGCATCCGAAAGGGGGACTTTCTAACGTTCGTGGATCTCACAGAGGCGTACTTACACATCCCTATCATTCCCGGCCACCGCCAGTTTCTCAGGTTCAGTTACATGGGGCATCATTATCAATACAGGGCACTCCCGTTCGGCCTGTCGTCGGCCCCAAGGGTGTTTTCCAAGGTCCTGGCAGTCCTAGCCGCACACCTGAGGTTGGTGCCGATTTGGGTGCAATGTTATCTGGACGACATCTTAATCCAATCGTCTTCTCCCCGGGGGCTCAGTCAGACCTGAGACTGGTGATCGAGGTCCTACAGAGTCACGGCTTTTCGGTCAACTTCAAGAAAAGTCAGACGGTCCCATCGACCAGATTGCTTCACTTGGGAGCCATAATAGACACAATAGAATGTAGGGTTTATCTGTCCCAGGAACGCAGGGACAGCATACGGGACCTGGTTCTCAAGGTCTGCAGGGACAGGACTCTGTCGCCCTCCGGTCTCTCCCGGCTACTGGGGAAGATGATATCGTGCATAGCGATCGTTCCCTGGGCCAGGTTACACTCATGGACTCTCCAGTGGTTTCTGCTTCCCTACCAGAAGCAGGGTACCAGCACTTCCAACCGAGAGGTAAGGATTCTACCACACATCCTGCGCTCGCTCAGATGGTGGATCTCTCCTGCCATGGCCAGAGGGTCTCTCTTCAAGGAGCCTGGTCGGCTCACGATCGCGACGGACGCCAGCCTGTTTGGCTGGGGAGCACACTATCAGTCGCAGTGGGCCCAGGGACGATGGTCTCGGTCAGACCTGAGACACAATATCAATTGGCTGGAACTCAGGGCCATACATCTAGCTCTTCGTCACTTCTGCCACAGGATTGCGAGACAACACGTGTTAGTCCTCACGGACAACGTGGCGGCAAAGGCCCATGTGACGGGCGGCAGGGGGGGTACCCGATCCCGTGCCCTCCTGACTGAGGCCCAGCTGCTGGGTTCCTGGGCAGAGACCAACCTTGCCTCGATCAGGGCAGACCACATCTCGGGGGAGGCAAACAAAAGGGCAGACTTTCTGAGGTCGACCGTGGACCACTCGGAATGGCGTGTGCACCTGGATCTATTCAGGGAGATCTCCTACAGATTCGGCCTCCCCATCAAAGACCTGTTCGCCTCCCAGGTGAACACACAACTCCCGCGATTCATTTTGCGCTTCCCAACTCCGGGGGCAGAGAGAGTAGATGCCCTTTGGCTCCTATGGCCGGAGGGCCTCCTCTATGCCTTTCCCCCTCTTCCTCTTCTCCTGGCAGTCATCTGCAAGCTTCTGCAAGAGAGGGCAGAGGTTCTCTTGATAGCCCCTTACTGGCCGCGGAGGCCTTGGTTCGCCGACCTCGTCAGCCTTTCCCTGTCGCGCACTTGGAGACTTCCTCCGGACCGGGTATCACTAACCCAGGGGGATCTGATTCACCTGGACCCTCAATGGCTTCAGTTAGCCGTATGGCACTTGAGCACCGGCTCCTATCCCGGGAATCCTGTTCGCCAGGAGTCATTTCCATAATCCAGGCATCTCGTAGACCGGCTACCAACCGCATCTATGATGCCACGTGGCAGAATTTTTGCTGGTGGTGTTCCACTCACCACCTGCCTTTATTGGAATTGACCATTCCAAATATTTTGGACTACTTACTCAAGGGTCTGAATAAGGGATTAGCACCTAATACATTGCGCAGACAGGTGGCTGCCCTTTCTACATTGATTACTTGCGACACTGTTAGTTCTCTGGGCCAACATCCCTTGATCCGTTCTTTCCTCAAGGGTGCAACTAATACTAGGCCTCCTGTGGTCCACAGATATCCCTCGTGGGAATTGCCTCGGATCCTTCAGGCTCTCACCAAAGCTCCTTTCGAATCCCTCAGTTCGTGCGACATGAGATCCTTATCTCTCAAGGTCGCCTTCTTGGTAGCCATCACTTCGGCCCGGCGCATTTCCGAGATGGCAGCACTCTCAGGGATGATTTATGTATTTTTCACCGGGACCGTGTTACCCTTCGCTTAGACCCCACCTTTGTCCCCAAAGTCAACTCCCTATTTCATAGGGCTCAGGATATTGTTCTCCCAGATTTCTGCCCTAATCCTTCCCATAATCTGGAACATCAGTGGCATTCCTTGGACGTTCGCCAGGCTCTCCGTTATTATATCAAGCGGACGGCTGCCTTCCGCAGCTCTGAGGCACTCTTTATCTCGTTCCATCCTTCCTCCAAGGGTCGGAAGGTCTCGGCCTCCACGATCGGCCGGTGGATAAGAGCCTGCATTGCGGAGGCGTACCAGTCCAATTCCTTGCCAGTTCCACGTCGTGTCATGGCTCACTCTACGTGTAGTGCAGCCACATCTGCGGCTTGGGCCACTCAGGCTTCAATTGAGGAGGTGTGTAAGGCGGCCATGTGGTCTTCGCCTTTGCCGTTCATACGGCATTACAAACTGGACAGGTACGCATCCGCTGAGGCCTCCTTTGGCAGGAGGGTTCTGCAACAGGTGGTGCCCCGTGACACGGTTCCAAACTTGCCCGCTTCCCTCCCGTAAGGACAGTGGGCTTTGGTATGTCCCATTGGTGGATTATCCATCTCCTGTGCTGGAGAAGGGGCGTTGTCTCACCTGAACGCCTTTTCTCAGCACGGAGATGGATAACGCACACCCACCCATTTAGGTCCTTAGGCCTAGGGTTAGTTTCTGTGAGCCAACACGTCATGCTGTCAGTCAGTAGCTGCGCCCTCGTCGAGACTGGGAAAATAGGCCCAGGACAGGCGTGGCAAGTTAGCTTATGATCTGATTGGGCAGGAGGATTGAGTTAGCCCATTGGTGGATTATCCATCTCCGTGCTGAGAAAAGGCGTTCAGGTAAGACAACATCCCTTCTATAACAATTCTGTCAAGGAATTTGTCCCTTCACATACTGTTCCTGCGTCCTAGGGTGGATTTCATCTTTATCATTTTAGAAAGGGAAAAGAAAAGTCCGAGAACAATGTGAAAACAGAAGAAGAAACTCTTCCAATAGTAGATGGTCAAGCCAGCTGCAAAATGGAGAAGTGGTTGAAGCCGTTACATTGTTTGAGGTGATCAGTATGGGGAAAAGAGCTATGCAGGTACATCTACATATTTTCTGGATTGAATAGACATCTATAAATTAAACTGTTTATGAAAACCTTGTTGCTTTCCTCTCTTTTATTTCACTGTTGAGATATGCCATTTTTAGTTTTTAATCTGTTTTTTGCAATCTGGTTCAGTCTGTGATAGATGACTGGATTGAAGCCTACAAAAAAGATAGAGATGTGGCACTTCTGGATCTCATTAACTTCTTCATTCAGTGTTCAGGCTGTCAAGGTAAAAATCCTTTTTCTACATTATAAAGAGACAATGATTAAATTTTTTTCATAATACATTCAGTGTATTCTTGTTTACAATGTAGGATTATATATATATATATTTTAAATAAATTTTTTATTGATTTTTATAATTAAACAACAAATAGCGATATGATGCATTTACATCCACAAACAGAGAGAAAAAAAATAATAATCCAAATCAATACATTGTCGGAAACGCTCGGCAGTCCCCGCCTTGCCTCCACCCTCATCCACTTTCCTATCCTTCCTCCCTCTGACCCACAACCTCTCCTCCTTCCTCCTTTCCACCTACCTACATCCCATCTCCTTTCTAACCACCTCGTCGAGTGCAATTTGGGATACCAGCCGAGCATCTCCTCTTATCAGTACAATTATTGTTTACCTCTAACATGTAAATACATCAATTTTTATGATTCCCCTAATCCCCATCCCCCCCTGGACTTCCCGGAACCAAATACAGGATTAAAACACATCCCATTCCATATCTAAATTACAATTTAACTAAACAAACATAATACAATCTATATATACCTACTTTAACTCTAATAAAGCAATAAGTAAAAACAATATATCTACTCAAAAACTATATGATATTTATTCACTCCATACTTTCTCTAAATATAATCTATCCACCTTCAACATTTAAGCTCAAAACAGTTTTTAAAGATCTTTTTTTTTGTACAGAATATATTTTTAGTATCTTAACAACTACAGAAGAAAGAGCAAAACATTTCCCTTACTGTCATCTCTAATGGCTATGATTACAGTACAAGAGTACTTTATTTTTTAAATACTTTTTTTAATAAAGTTTTTATTGATTTTTATAATTAAACAACAAATATCAATATGATGCATTTACATACACAAACAGAGAAAAAAAAATCCAAGTCAATACATTGTCGGAAATGCTCGGCAGTCCCCGCCTTGCCTCCACCCTCATCCACTTTCCTATCCTTCCTCCCTCCAACCCACAACCTCTCCTCCTTCCTCCTTTCCACCTACCTACGTCCCATCTCCTTTCTAACCACCTCATCGAGTGCAATTTGGGATACCAGCCGAGCATCTCCTCTTATCAATACAATTATAGTTTACCTATAACATGTAAATACATCAATTTTTATGATTCCCCTAATCCCCTTCCCCCCCTGGACTTCCCGGAACCAAAAACAGGATTAAAACACATCCCATTCCATATCTAAATTACAATTTAACTAAACAAACATAATACAATCAATATATACCTACTTTAACTCTAATAAAGCAATAAGTAAAAACAATATATCTACTCAAAAACTATATGATATTTATTCACTCCGTACTTTCTCTAAATATAATCTCAAAACAGTTTTTAAAAATCTAAATATCTATCAAACATTTTATATAAATTTTTTCTTACATTTTACACTTAAATTTTCCTTCACTTTCTTCATTCTCAAGTCAATATTTTCAAGAAAATCTTAAGTCAATACTTCCTTCTTCACAGCTGGAAAAGTAAAATAAAATCCCAGTCTTAAGTTTATCAAATATTTTAAGTCTTTCAAAATACTATAAGTTCTTTACAAACATATAATCCTTTTTATATTATTTCAAATATTAAACTAATTTCTTCCATTTCCATAATAAAGTCTCACTTCCAGCATCAT